GTCTAGTTGCTGGGTCTAAGTCTGTCTGTCCTCTGTCCGTCGGGGGTGAGTGTGCTCTTGGTACGGACGTCCTTGAGGATAGGTAGGAGGACCTTGAATGTCTTGCGGCCGCTGTGCCTCATCTCGTGTCCATGCTGCTTGCCCCTGAGGGAAACCCGGATGCTCCAGACATCCCAACCCCGTGCTCTTACGCTGAGGCGATCACCGGTGAGTACTCCTCTCAGTCTCAGACAGCCATCGACGCAGAGATGGCACCCTGGAAGTCCACAGGCACTTACGTTGACGAGTTTCCCCCTCCTAGGGCGAACATCGTTAGTGGCATGTGGATTTTCAGGGTGAAGCGGCCGCCAGGTTCTCCGCCCGTCTTCAAGGCTCGTTACATAGCTCGAGGTTTCAGACAGCGAGAGGGGGTAGACTTCTTCCAGACCTTCTTCCCCACCCCAAAGATGACCACTCTTCGGGTGCTGCTGCACGTTGCCGCTCAGCGTGACTACGAGCTTCACTCTCTTGACTTCAACACAGCTTTCTTACAGGGAAGCTTGCACGAGGAGATCTGGCTGCGCCGCCCTCCTGGCTTCACTGGGTCGTTCCCTCCTGGTACCCAATAGAGCCTCCTGCGGCCGGTCTACGGTCTCCGCCAGGCGCCACGTGAGTGGCACGACACACTGAGGACTACACTTGCGGCTCTTCGGTTCGTGCCTTCTACTGCTGACCCGTCGCTGTTTCTGCGCACCGACACTTGGGTGTAGCCGTTCTACATCCTCATGTACGTCGACGACTTGGTCTTTGCCATTGCTAATTCTGAGGCTTTCGCCGTGGTGAAGTCGGAGCTGTAGAAGAGACACACGTGCACAGACTTGGGTGAGCTGCGCAGCTACCTTGGCTTGCAGATCACCCAAAACAGAACACATCGCACCATCACACTGACTCAGTCACACATGGTGCAGCAGGTCCTTCAGCGCTTCGGCTTCACCTGGTCCTCGCCACAGCACACTCCTCTGGCTACAGGCCACTCACTCTCAGCTCTGCCTTCGGATGAGTCCGTAGAGCCGAGTGGCCCGTACCCAGAGCTAGTGGGCTGCCTCATGTACCTGATGACCTGCACTCGACCTGACCTTGCGTACCCTCTTGGCCTTCTGGCCTGCTACGTGGCTCCCTATAGGCACGGAAAGGTGCACATGGATGCTGCTAAGAGGGTACTTTGCTATTTGTGTAGTACATCGGGCATGGGGCTCGTGCTTCGAGGGCGGAGCCCAGTTGTCCTCACTGAGCACTAGGACGCCTCTTGGGTTGACGACCTAGCTACGCAACGGCCGTCACAGGGTTACACCTTCAGCCTTCAGTTTCTTGGCGGTCTATACGCCCGTCTTCAGTTCTCAGCTCCAGTTGTGAGGCAGGGATCTACGCCATAGCCATGGCTGTACAGGAGCTACGCTGGCTCACCTACCTGCTGACTGACTTCTCCTCGTGGCCTCGTTCTCCTCTAGTGCTGTACATCGACAACAAGGCCGTCATTTGTTAGAATGTTATAATTGTCTAGCCTGCAGTGGGGTACTCTATAGCGAGTACAACCCAATTAGGGTTTCCTATATGTATGCCAACTGCTGCTAGTGCAAACCCCCTCTTCTTCATTCCTCATTCTTCACATGCTATCAGAGCATCTACGCTCGTGGCCTGTGGGCACACCTAACTACTTCCGCTGCTACTCAGTGTGTTTATTTTTCTTCCCCTCCTAGAGGCCCCTCTCACGGCCCCTCGCGCCACCCTTAGTGGCCCCGTCGCCGCCCTTCTCGGCCCCTCGAAGCCCCTTCGCGGCCCCGTCGCCGCCCCTAGCGGCCCCGTTGCCGCCCTTCTAGGCCCCTTACGGCCCCTTCGCGGCCCCGTCGCCGCCCGTAGCGGTCGCGTCGCCGACCTTTCAGGCCCCTCGCGGCCCCTTTGCGGCCCCGTCGCCGCCCCTAGCGGCCCGTCGCCGCCCTTCCAGGCCCCTCGCGGCCCCTTCGCGGCCCCGTTGCCGCCCCTATCGGCCCCGTTGCCGCCACCAGCGGCACCGTCGCCGCCCCTAGCGGCCCCGTCGCTGCCCCTATCGGCCCCGTCGCCACCTCCAGCGGCCCCGTCGCCGCCCCTTTCGGCCCTCCCTCGACCCTGCCCCGGCCCCGCTTCGGCCATGCTCCGTCACTTGTCGCGGTGCACCGGGGGCCCGTGCACCGCCCCCCCCCCCCCCTCTTTTCCCGACGCCTGTCGAGGCGGCCTGAGGGGGCGTGAGAGGGGGGGGGGCGAGCGTCGCCCCTTCTGCCACCTCTTTTGGCGCCCTGGGAGGCCGCGCGTCGCCCCCTCCTCCCCCCCCCCCCCCCCCCCCCCCCCCCCGTAACCTCCCTACCCGCGTTGTGTGAAGGTAGCTGTCGTGTCGCCTGCAACGCCTGTAGTCCGTCGCCCTTGCTTCAATAGCCAGTGAGCCTGTTGCACCAGTCGCCAATGGTTCCGTTGCTCGTGCCGCTCGTCTATAGCCTCGAAGCCAGTTACTCGAGTAGTCTGTCGCCCTTGCTTCGGTAGCCACTGAGTCACCTGCTCCTGTGCCCGTGCCTCTGCAGCTTCAGTCGTTGCCTCCCATCTTCTCTCCCTTCACAGTTCCTCCTCCTCCTCACTTGCCCGCTGTGATTAACTCTAGCTTTGCTCGCTATTGTGAACTCCTGCTTTATGCCTGCTTGCTCATTGTGTTGATTACACCCCACTTTGGCTATGGGGGTGTGTCAGAATGTTATAATTGTCTTGCCTGCAGTGGGATACTCTATATCGAGTACAACCCAATTAGGGTTTCCTATATGTATGCCAACTGCTGCTAGTGCAAACCCCCTCTTCTTCATTCCTCATTCTTCACATCATTGCCTTGTGTCAGGAGCACAGGGTCTAGCACAGAACGAAGCACATTGCTCTGCGTTACTTCCTTGCTCGAGAGTTGCAGCAGCGTCGTCAGCTTCGTCTTGCTCACATGGCCACTCGGGCCAACACTGCTGATATATTCACCAAGGCACTTCCGTCTGGTGATCATCAGCGTTTTTGTACTTTGTTAGGCCTTGTGCCCATGTTTTCTCACTTGCTCTAGACTTTGTCTGTACTGTGATCTATTTATATACCTGCATGCTTTCTCTGTTAGGTAGAGATCAGTGTGCTGCCATTGTTGCATACATACCTCTGCATGTGAACTGGCCTTGTGGCCCTTTGCTTGTGCTCAGTGTGTGTGGTGACGTTGTGATCGACCCTGAACTTGCTTCGCTTCTCTTGACTGGTCTTATGACCGCTTGTTCTCCCCCACTTTGCCTATGGGGGTGTGTCAAAGTATATGCATGTTATATATGTGTAGGCTTTAGTGGGGTAGCCAATATGGGGTACAGCCCCGTTTAGGGTTTCATACTTGTACCCATCTCTTCCATGGTGCATTCATTCCTACTGCTAGATTCTAACACCTGTAACCCTTCCCTAGGATCAATCAGGGATCACCAGTGGACCTCTGACAAAGAAGGTTCTACCCATGCCTACACAAGCAAAGAGCCATCCCCACGCCCCATGTCACCTCCACATTGACACCCTTTTCTCCCATTCACCCCTTGCCTTCGTCCCCCCTCCTGCAACCCTCCTCGCGATCCCTCCCTCTGATTCTCCCTCTCGATACCCCCGACCACATATGCATAGTGCCCCGCCTGCCCCTCCTCTAAGCTCTCACGCTGGATGGTATGGTTGTGGAAGAGGGGGAAGTGGTCGAGAAGCACGAGCAGCATGCGGTGGTGGCGGCACCATGCCACAACCAGGTCCAGCCACACATACCGCTCGTGCGTCGCCTTGATTGGCTGCAGCCTGCCCCCAGCTTTGCCAGTGGCATGGACGGACATGATGATTGTTTGGGCGGCGGTAGATAGGGGAGGGGTTTGGGAAGGGGGGGAAGGAGGGGGTGGAAGGGGAGGAGGATCGGAAAGGTGTACCAAAGCAAGGGGGGTGAAGGAGTATGGCAAGGTAGTGGAAACATCGAAACGGTTAATAGGATGCAAGTGAAGGGAAAAAACGGAGCAAGAGGTAAGGTGGGGCTAGGCAGGAATGAGAGGCGCAGCAAGGTGCGGCACGGTGACGCACGTGTAGGGAGGCTGTATTTGTAGAAGCATGGCAGGGATCCTATGTAGGGAATGGTGCATTAATGGTTAAACTTTCCCGCAGAGGAGTTGAGTTGGGTAGTTGATAGCCTCGTTGGCAGGGAATTTTGCCCCATAAAGCCCATCTTCGCTGATGCCTGAGGTGCTCTGAATTGCATGCGACTCTTACTCGGCATTCATTTGTCAAACAGCGCGTGTGCTGGCATTAGCCAGGATCATGTTCGATGAACATGACATAGCTAACAAGGCGTAGAAGGCATGAATCCACACCTTGTTCACCAAACCATACTGACTTCATGCACGTATTCGACAATTCTCGGATGGACGAGATGTGTTGGAATAACCGTTGGTTGTATCAACAAGATGTGCGGTTGAAAATGCTTCAATTTGGTTAAAAAGAAGTAAATTGTACAATCCCCTACCGCTGATAAAATTCCTCAATGATACGTGCACCCCCTAAATAAACGCGTTTTATTATAACCCCCCGGGGCCGCTTATATATGGGGGCATATATGTATATAAACAAAATCTTTTACAGTAGGTTGGCCTGTCCTAAAAAAACACTTATGGAAACTAAGAATCAAACAGTTTTAGCAAACAGCCAACAGGCATGTACGTTTCTTTTTATTACTAGTAATAGACAGTGGTGTGCGCTTCGGTAGAAACCCAATTTTTTTGGTCCAAATACTTCTGCACCGTTCATCCTCCCACCGTCCGAGGAAGACATCTACCGCCCCAAACCGAACCAAACGCTGTTCTGATGTTTGTAACTACCCTCCTAGGCCCCTCTGCGCAGCACATCGATAGTGCAGCTAGTTTCTAGAACCCCTCTGCGCAGCACGTCGTCCGTAAATCTTGGCGATGTCGAATTTCTCGGCGGCGCTGCGACTAACGGACCTGAACGACTTTATCGCACCATCGCAGGCATGCGTCGTCACCGCACAGGGGCAGCGCGTGGGTGGGGGAGAGGTGAGACGGGAGGGGCGAAGTGGCGGGCTTGGTGATAGATCGATGGATTCATTGGCGCATGGTGCATCATGAATCCGCGTCTTATCCCGTTCATCACCTTCTCCCGTCCTTCTCACGTCTTTCTCCCTCCCGCTCTCCGCCCCCGGACCCCTTATGCGCGGGCGCGCTGCAGGGTGTGGGCGCAGCGGGGGAGGTGCAGCTGCGGGGAGCGGGCGGAGGGGGATTTGAGCAGACGAGACAAGGGCGCGAGGGCGAGGCGGTGAAGGTCACTCTGCACGACTGCCTCGCGTGCAGGTGTGGCGCCGCTGCTGCTTGTAGCTTCACGGTGCTTACACAGCCGTAGCGCTCGTTAGCTTGCCACCCTTGTGCTGCTCGCTCCATGCACCCCCCGACTCTCACTCACGCGCTGCTCCCTTCTTCCCCCCTCCATTCCCCTCCCCGCGCGCCTCCCCCGCGCGGCACGGCAGTGGGTGCGTGACGACGGCGGAGACGGTGATGCTGGAGCAGCAGAGCGCGCACCACATGCTGCACCACCTGCCACCGCCAGGCTCCCACGCGGACAGCGCAAGGCAAACAGGGCAGGGGGGTGAGGGGCGCAAGGTGGTGGTGGTGTCGCTGTCGCCGCAGTCACGGGCGGCACTGGCGGCCCACTATCAGATCACGCCCCTGCAGGTGCGACTCGCGTAGGGGGGCGCGCATGCAGGTGTGGAGAAGACAGCGAGAGGGCGAAGGGAAGTGCGAGGTCCGGTGGCTGCCGTAAGGGGGGCCGCGCACGCAGATGTATCCACCTTGTGCCACGATTTCCCGCTCTCTGCACCTGCATGCTCGCCTCTTATCCTCCTCCCTGCACATCCATAAACATCTTTGCTGCTGTCGTTCCTGCATGTGCTGGGCGTGGCATCAGTGTTTGACACGAGTGCATAGCATGCCACGCCCCACCTGCTCCCTCCCCCCCGGCAGGCCTTCCGCAAGCTGACGTCGTTCCTGCATGCACTGGGCGTGGCAGCGGTGTTTGACACGAGTGCATCGAGGGACGTGGCGCTCATCGAGGCCTGCCATGAGTTCGTCTGCGCCTTCCGCCGCCACGCTGCTGCCCATGCCACCACCGCCCTTGCCTCTGCCCCTGCGGGCACCATGAACGGGTCTGTCAGTGGCCTGGCCGCTATGCCACATGCATTGTCCGATCACCGTGCAGCCACAGGAGCAACACCATTAGCACCATCTGACATGGTACCAGCTGCAGGTTCAGCAGCAGCAACAGAAGCAGCAGCAGCAGCAGAAGCAGCAGCAGCACGAGAGAGCAGTGCGGAGGCAGCACAAGAGTCTGGCCAGTCCGCCCCTCCCAATGCCACACCGCCGCCCATCCCCACTGACTCGCTGCCGCACCTGCCTGTGCTCGCCTCTGCTTGCCCTGGTACGACTCGTGGCACAGCCAGGCCAATAGCTGGTTCCTGTGCACTTATGAATTGGCCCATGCGTCCGCCCATGCGTCCGCCCTTGTGCACGAACCTGTGCATGCCCCTACCCACTGCTTTGCAATCTCTTCCCATACGCATCTCCGTGCGTGCGTCCATGGGAGGCCAGGGTGGGTGTGCAACATGAAGAAGACGCATGGAGACCACGTCCTGCCGCACATGAGCCTATGTCTTCACCTCTCTCCACTTTCCTTTACCATATGCACCATGGGCTGCCAGGGTGGGTGTGCTACGCGGAGAAGGCCCACGGGGAGTACATCCTGCCGCACATGAGCCGTGTGAAGAGTGCCCAGCAGACCATGGGCGCGCTGCTCAAACGCTTCTACGCCTCCCGGCTCAACACCACGTGAGTCGTGCGGCCATGCCTCTCATGCCCCTCGCTGCAGCCGTGGGTGAGAGGAGCGACGAGCGCGGCATCGAAGCAGGCGGTAAAAGATGCGTGGGAATGAGACATGCACAGGTCTACGCCATGCCATCTTGGATGCCATGCACAGGTACACGCCATGCACAGGTACACGCCATGCACAGGTACACGCCATGCACAGGTACACGCCATGCACAGGTACACGCCATGCACAGGTACACGCCATGCACAGGTACACGCCATGCACAGGTACACGCCATGCACAGGTACACGCCATGCACAGGTACACGCCATGCACAGGTACACGCCATGCACAGGTACACGCCATGCACAGGTACACGCCATGCACAGGTACACGCCATGCACAGGTACACGCCATGCACAGGTACACGCCATGCACAGGTACACGCCATGCACAGGTACACGCCATGCACAGGTACACGCCATGCACAGGTACACGCCATGCACAGGTACACGCCATGCACAGGTACACGCCATGCACAGGTACACGCCATGCACAGGTACACGCCATGCACAGGTACACGCCATGCACAGGTACACGCCATGCACAGGTACACGCCATGCACAGGTACACGCCATGCACAGGTCCCTTCTCCCTTCTCCCTTCTCCCTTCTCCCTTCTCCCTTCTCCCTTCTCCCTTCTCCCTTCTCCCTTCTCCCTTCTCCCTTCTCCCTTCTCCCCTCTCCCCTCTCCCCTCTCCCCTGCTCAGCCCGGAGCAGCTGTACCACGTGGCAGTAGTGATGCCCTGCTACAACAAGCTGATGGAGTGGCGATTAATTCCTAGACTTCAGAACACTTGAGTCGACCAGAGAATTGGCTTCCTCCCCTCCCTGTCCCACCAGTGCAGAGCAGCTGTACCACGTGGCAGTGATGCCCTGCTACGACAAGAAGCTTGAGGCCGCCAGGGACGACTTCCTGCTGCCTGGGGGGGCGCAGGCGAGTGCGCAGGACGGGGGAGAGAATACTCGAGATGCAGAGGGCGATGAGGAGCGGTTGACAGAGGTGGACTGTGTGCTGACGTCAGGGGAGATCTTCGCACTGCTGCAGGTGCTCTGTGAGGAGGGTGTTGGGATCTCTGCTTGTGAGTCTGACTTTTGTCTCGCTTGCATTGCTCCCATGCTGCCTCTTTAGCCCCCCAGGGCTCACATGTTCCCCCCTCATCGCTGTGTGCCTGCACCCCTTTGTGCCTGCACCCCTTTGTGCCTTCACCCCTTTGTGCCTTCACCCCTTTGTGCCTTCACCCCTTTGTGCCTTCACCCCTGTGTGCATGACTGCCCACTTTGCGCTCATGTCTCTACCATGGTCCCTGGGTGCAGGAACAACGAGTGGACTTCATGGCTCTGGAAGAGCATCCTCTCGACTCCATGTATGCCACCATGCCATCCCACCATGCCATGCCCATGCCATGCCCATGCCATGCCCATGCCATGCGCATGCCATGCCCATGCCATGCCCATGCCATGCCCATGCCATGCGCATGCCATGCCCATGCCTTGCCCATGCCATGCCCATGCCATGCCCATGCCATGCGCATGCCATGCCCATGCCATGTCCATGCCATGCCATTCCATGTCACATGCCATGCCACCATGCCTTACGTTTCACTGTGGATATTCATTGATGGTGTAACATGTCAGTGCATCCCTCCCATGCTGTCCCATCTTACGCTCGCCCCATCCACTGCCAGCTGCCCCTCCTGCCCCCCTTGTCCACCCTCCAGTTCTCCAGTCCATTGAGCTCCTTCCACTGTCCACATACATTCAGAATTGCTGCCTTTCCCAACCGCCTCGTCCTCCTTCCCTCATCCCCCATGATGTCTCCACACACCTCTGGCATCCACTTGCACAATCACCTTCGCCGTCCATCCCTTACCCTCTCCATTCTTCATCCACTTTTCCCCGCCGCACCACTTCATCCACCCTTTCTCATGCTTCTTGCTCGTCCCCACCCCCAAGGCTCACCAACGTGGACGCCAGCGGGCATCTCTATGGCGTGGCGGGCGGGTCAGGCGGGTACGCGGAGGCTGTGCTGCGCTATGCAGCGCTGGAGCTGTTTGGTGTGCACGTGCCCTTGGGCCCACTGGAGTGGCAGGCGGTGCGCAACGCGGACATGCGCGAGTGCAGTGTGGCGGTGGACGGGCAGCCCGTGCTGCGCGTGGCATGTGCGTACGGCTTCCGCAACATTCAGAACGTGCTGCGCCGCGCCAAGCAGGGCCGCTGCCCATACCACTACGTGGAGGTCATGGCCTGCCCCGGAGGTGAGAGTGGAGGGGTGGGTAGCAGGGGGGCTGGAGGTGGGGGGGAAAGTCGCCTGTACCAGTACCACCACACCATGTGGAGTTCATGGCTTGCCCTGGCGGGTAGAGGACGCCAAGGCGCAGGGGGCCTGGAGGTGAAGAGGGGCAGAAGGTGAAGAGGGGCAGAAGGTGAAGAGGGGCAGAAGGTGAAGAGGGGCAGAAGGTGAAGAGGGGCAGAAGGTGACTCATACGTCAACTTGGAAGTTGCTCCGTACCACCATGTGCAGGTCATGGCTTGTCTCGGAGGTGAGGATGAGAGGGGTGGAGAACAGGGGGCCTGGAGATGGGGGAGGGTGGGGAGAAGGCCGGAAGGTGACTCTTGAGGCGACTTAGAAAGGCCGGACATGGCTACTAGGTGGAGGACATGGCTTTCCCTGGGATGAGAGGGACGGGGGGTTGGGCAAGTGGGGGAGTGGAGGTGGGGGTGAGGGAGAGGGCCAGAAGGTGACTCGTGAGTTCAATCAAAAGTCACTCGGCACCACCACGTGCAGGTCATGGCGTGCCCCAGCGGTGAGAGGAGGGGCAGGTACAGGGGGAGTGGCGGTGGGGGAGGGGAGAGGGACAGAAGTTGGCTTTTGATGTCACTGATAATTCAACTCGTTACACTGCATGGAGGTAAGGGTGTAAAAACGAATACGGATTTGAATACGGTTATCTTAAATGAATAATTGTCGAATACCTGGCTGTTTTTGTATTTGTTCGAATACCTGTCCCGCCACGAATTCGAATACGACTCGAATACATGGTGTGTCGAATATGGTTTCGAATAGCAATATGTTGTGCAAACAAAGATCTCATGATTCACGGTGGGGCTTAAATACATACTGAAGTATCATTAACACCCTTTTACTCTTACTCATTGCCCCCTTGCTCAGTTAGCATGGCTCTGATGGCCGTTCTGTAGAGTCCTTTGTATTGTATACTCAAGATTTCGTGAATAATAGCGGCTGGTTTTGGTGGTTCAGTAACCTCAAAGCGAATCGAATATGTATTCGAATAACCGGTTATCTGAACCGAATACTCGAGTACTTGAATGTCGAATACTTTCGAACAGTAAGGGGTATTTGTATTTGATTTGTATTTGATGTTTGTCGAATATCGAATACTAATACGAATACAGTGGTATTTGTTTACACCCTTACGTGGAGGTGATGGCACGCCCTGGAGCTGAGAACGGGAGGTGGAAGAGGGGCATGGGGGGAGTGGAGGTGCAGGAGCATAGAGGTGCAGGTGTGAGTATGGGTGAGGAGAGAGCGCGTGAGTATGGGTGAGGAGAGAGCGCGTGAGTATGGGTGAGGAGAGAGCGCGTGAGTATGGGTGAGGAGAGAGCGCGTGAGGATTTTATGGCAAGGTGGTGGTTGTCATGCTCGTATTGTGTCATGAAATTGTGAACCATGAAATTGTGTCACTTTCACCATTTCATGTAGTTTGTTCCAACGTGCTTTTGTGGTTCTCAAGGTGCGATTTTGTGTGCGTGGGTCCATGGGGGGTGCATGGGGTGCACGGGGTGCATGGGGTGCATTGGATGGCACGGCACTGCAGGGTGTCTGAATGGAGGGGGCCAGCGTCCACCGGAGCAGCGCAAGGCGCAGCCAACGAGGAGCTACCTTCAGGACCTGGAGGCTCATTACCTGGCCCAGGTGAGGGCGCATTACATGGCTCAGATTTCTCTGCCACCACCCTTCTCCCATTTCCTCCCCATTCCCTAGGGTCTCGGGCCTTTTCTTGAGCTCATGGCTCCTTGGTGCGTCAAGTTCCACATGCTTGTGTTCGTCTTGTGCTCTTGTTCCCGCGACCCCTCTCCTCTCTACCTTCTCACCCCACTCACATTTCCTTGTGCTCCTTGCACCTGTCTGCATCCCCTTGCCAATCCCTGACCAATCTCTACTGTCTCAATCGCAGGTGGAAACGCGCAGCCCATTCGCCAATCCGCTAGCCCAGCAGATCTACTCGCAGTTCCTGGGCTCGCCTCTCTCCCCCTCCGCACAAGCTGTGCTGCACACCTCCTTCCATGCTCGCCCCAAAACGCTTGCTCTCTCTGCACCTACACTTGCTGCTAGCTGGTAGCGCATGCTTACAGATTGTGACCGTATGGACAAATATTGTGAAAGCTTGCTTTCTGCGACTTGTAAAGGCATCGTGCTTCATTTCATATGGGTATGAGTACATCAATCTCATCCCATGATAAGTACGATTACAGCAAGAATCTTAGAGATGGTTACTACATGGGTTGGTGGATGGGAAACTCAAACTTCGAAACTGAAAAGGAGAACGCGGGTGAGGTCGAATGGCCTCAACCCCCTCTTTTGTAGCCAAAAAAGGGCGAGTAACGATGCGACACTGCCTTTGCTGCGTTGGCAATCGCTACACTTTCACAAGACACAATCTTTTAATAAGTGTTGCACACTTTTAAAAATGTACATATTGTGAAAGCTTGCTTTCTGCAACTTGTAAAGGCATCGTGCTTCATTTCACATGGGCCTTCTCAGACATGCGAGTGGTTGGTCGGCGATGCCGCTGAATAGACATTTGGTGCTGGTTCGGGGAGGGAGCCCGTGTAGGATCCTGAATCAGCTGGGAGGTAGCCACAAGCTGGTCGTGGGCGACGGTGACGTAGAGGTTTTTTGCGTTGTCGCTGCGCCAACGGCCCAACCGCTTGAACATCCTGTCCAAGACTCCGATGCCTGCCGCCGTCGTTGGTGCTCCTTTGCGGAAGTAGTGCGTGCCAAGGTGGTTGGCGTCGAGGCCAACCCTTTGGAATGCTTCCAAGCACCAATTGCGCACAGTTGGGTATGAAGGCGCGTGGTCGTGCGGAGTTGCTATGGGGTCACGTGTGAACACCCGTATCAGTGGTCCTTTGGTCGAGGCGTCATAGCCGGCAAGCGAGATGAATTGTCTAGTAATCTTAACTGGGCAATAGGGTTCGGGTGTGGTTGCGATTGGGACCCATATTCCCTTGCCTTCCTGCTCCGTTATGGAGTGGGGAATCAATAGCCACATCGCCGCCTCCTAGAACTGGATGTCTTGCCACTGAATTGCGACGAGGTCCGAGAAGCGGAGAAAGCCCGTACATGAGCAGTGGGATGAGGCCTTTCTGGAAGACCGAAGATCATATATAAAGGTAAACAAGCAAGTGCAGGTATAGAAACATCACAGTACAAGCAAGGTCAAGAAGTGAGCAAGTGAGGCCAAGAAGGCACAAGACCTAGCATCGTACAGAATCGCTAATGATCACAAGACGGAAGTGTTTTGGTAAAGATATCAGCAGTGTTGGCTTCAGAGGCCACGTAAGCAAGGCGCAATTGACCACGCTCCTGCAGCTCGCGAGCAAGAAAGGAGCGAAGAGCAATGTGCTTCGTTCTGTGCTCCAGTCTGTGCTCCCGACACAAGGCCAGCATGGCCTTGTTCTCTACGTACAGAACTGGAGGAGAACTAGGCGGCTCTCCTAGGTCAGCCAGCAGGTAGGTGAGTCAGCGTAGCCCCTGTGCAGCCATGGCCCCCGGTATATCTCAGCCTCACAGCTGGAGCTGAGAACAGAAGACGAGCGGGTAGACCGCCATGAAACAGAGCCGGAACCAAGGCTGAAGGTGTAACCCTGTGACGACCACTGCGTAGCCCGGTCGTTAGCCCAAGAAGCGTCTGCGTGACCTGTGAGGACCACTCGATGTCGCCCTCCAAGCACTAGCCCCATGCCCAACGTACTGCACAAGTAGCGCAACACCCTCTTCGCTGCAGCCAAGTGCTCTGGTCGGTGTCTCCCAGGAGCAACATAGCGTGCCAAGATGCTAAGAGGGTATGCTAGGTCAAGTCCTATGCAGGTCATCAAGTACATGAGGCAGCCAACAAGCTCTGGGTACGGGCCACTCGGCTCTACGGACTCATTCGAAGGCACAGCTGAGAGCGAGTGGCGAGTAGACAGAGGAGTGGCCTAAGGCGAGGAGTACGTGAAGTCGAAGCACTGAAGAACCTGCTGCACCATGTGTGACTGAGTCAGGGTAATGGTGCGCTGTGCTCTATCCCGGGTGATCTACAAGCCAAGGTAGCTGCGCAGTTCACCCAGGTCTGTGCACGTGTGTCTCTTCTGCAGCTCAGACTTCACGTGGGTGAGTCCAGCAGTGACAGTAGTGGCAAAGACCAAGTCGTCGACGTACACGAGGATGTAGAACGGCGGCAGAGAGGTGTCAGTGCGTAGAAAGAGCGACGGGTCGGTAGTAGAAGGAGCAAACCCAAGAGCCGCAAGTGTAGTCCTCAGTGTGTCGTGCCACTCACGGGGCGCCTGGCCGAGACCGTAGACTAGCCGGCGGAGGCTCCACTGGGTACCAGGAGGAAACGACCCAGTGAAGCCAGGTGGGCGGCGCAGCCAGATCTCCTCGTGCAGGCTGCCCTGCAAGAAAGCTGTGTTAAAGTCAAGAGAGTGAAGCTCGTAGTCGCGCTGAGCGGCTATGTGCAGCGGCACCCGAAGAGTGGTCATCTTCGGGGTGGGAGAGAAGGTCTGAAAGTAGTCAACTCCCTGCCGCTGATTGAAGCCTCGAGCCACATAACGCGCCTTGAAGACAGGCGGAGAACCCGGCGGCTGCTTCACCCTGAAAATCCACATGCCACTGAGGATGTTCGCCCCAGGTGGGGGAACCTCGTCGGCGTAGGTGCCTATGGACTTCCACGAAGCCATCTCTGCATCCATGGCTGACTGCCGCTGAGAGGAGTAGGGACCCTCGATCGCCTCAGCGTACGATCGAGGAGTCGGGATGTTTGATGCATCCGGGTCTCCCTCAGAGGAAATCAGCGTGGACATGAGATGAGGCAAAGCAGCAGCAAAACACTGGAACTCCTCCTGCCTTTCCTCAAGGACGTCCGTGCTAAGAGCACACTCACCCTTGACGGACGGAGGACAGACAGACGCAGACTCAGCAACGAGACTAGCAGCGTAGTCTAGACGATAGCGAGCAGCAAAGTCGACTAGCTCAGCAACTAAGGCAGACGCAATAGTGGACCCAAAGGAAGGGTCAGTGACAACAGTAGCCAGGAAACGCATGACAGTAGGACTGCTAGCACAAAGAGAGTCAGATTCCGGGTAAGCAAGAAGAGGAAGAGAGGACTCTGGAGGAGACGGCAATGGGACACGAAGAGGAGAAGTGGAAGGACGTAGTGCCATCTGGTGTGTGCCTGGGAATGCAGGAGCACACGGACGCGGAGCACGACGTCTAGTGCGAGCAGCACAAACAGGCGACGCAGGACGGGACGCAGGCTCACGACGCTCAGCAAGACCTCTAGTAGGACCAGTGTAGGGAGAAGGAGCAGGCAGGGGGGAGGCGGGCTGTAATTGTGACTGTGACTGGACATGCTGTGGACACTCTAAGGGAGGAGCAGGACGAGTAGGAGGCGGGAGACCAAGAACCTGCTCAAGGAGCGGAATGAAGTATGGCCTCGGCCGCGCAGTGCCTCCAAAACCAGAAAGGATAGCACCAGGACCCCCAGCGTCAGCACCAGCGCCAGCATCACCTCCAGCTCCACCAGCGCCAACTCCAGCACCCTCACAAGCACAAGCGCCAGTAGCACCACTAGCGCCAACACCCCCACCAGCTCCAGCTCTAGCAGCTCTAGCAGCACCAACTCTAGCACGACCGTCAGCTCAAGTAACGCCAGCAGCTTCAGCATTACCTCCAGCAGGAATAACTTCAGCAGCCCCAGCAGCACCCCCACTCCCAGCAACTCTAGTACCGCTAGTACGAGGACCTCCAGGACCAGCAGCAACAGTAGTACCTCCAGCTCCAGCTACACGGCTCCAGCGCTGGGCAAACCACTCGCGCAACTCTTGCGGAGAGAGTAGCTCCCGCCTCGACCATGCACTGCAAGAGGCCACACGAGCAGACCCAGCACCCCTTGGGTGCGCACCCCAAGGATCCGTACCCCCAGGCTCAGCACCCCCAGGCTCAGCACCCCTAGACTCCGTACCCCCACGCTCAGCACCCCCAGACTTGGCACCCGCAGGCTCAGCGCCCCTAGCAGCACCAGAGTCAACAACTACCTCGACAGGCTCGACTGCGTCTACCTGGCACACTCCTCATGGGGCAGGGCAGAGGGTCTACCGAGGGAGGACCTGGCACAAGGAAGAGCGGCGGCGGGGGGAGGGGCGCAGTGCGGTAGGGGAAGAGACGGTAGTAAGGCACCAACTCGTCAAAGGTGACGTCCTGGGAGGACAAAACACGTCACGAGTTGGGGTTGTAAAGCTGCCAACTAGGCGCGTCAGGGGGGAAGCCAAGCAAGACGCAGGGAACAGCACGGGGGGACAGCTTGTCCGCAAACAAGTCGCGGACAAACGCGCGAGATCCTCAGACCTGAAACGCAGACGCATTGCCAACCTTCCCCGTCCACCGCAAGGTGGGGGAGGTCTCTGCCAAGGAGACCCGGGGCTGAAGGTTGAGCTGATGCACTGCGTACTGAACCGCAAACGGCCATAGAAAAAAGGGAGCAGCCACATGGATCATGGACGTACGAGGACGTCCACGACCATGCCAATGTGGCGCTCAGCAATCTCATTTTGCTGTGGAGAGGCCGGAAGCGTGAAGGTATGGCGGATGCCTTGTGCACAATAGAAGGCTACCAGACGGGCAGAGGAAAACTCCCCGCCTCTGTCAAAGTGCATACGCAGAACAGGAAAGTCTGAGCCGAAACTATCTCTCAGCTAGAGACCAGCCGCGCGGATCGAGTCCATCAACACCTCAGCGACGTCACCCTTGCTGCCCAAGGGGAACATCGTGGTGTAACGCGAGTATCCGTCAACCACCAACAGGAAGTACCGCTCGTGACCCTGGCCAAGAACGCGGGCGGGGCCCCACACATCCATGTGAAGAGTCTGGAGCGGAGCCTCTGTCAAAGGAAACTCGAAGGAGCGCCGCCCCTTAATACAGGGAACCAGGTAGGGGCAGGCCCCGGAGGGAGGGGAGGGAGGGACCGGGGGAGACCAGAGACAAGGGCACGAGAGGCCATGCCTCAAAGACGAGGCCGTGAGGGGTGACCAAGGCAGGAGAGTCTGGTGGGACAGGAGACGACACGAGCAGGGAGCAGAC